GGGCTCAATGGGTTGGGGGGGAACCCCCACAAGGAGGGCTTCCCCTCCATACACACTGTGCCAACCTGGACAGGGGAGTCTGGGGGGATTCATTCCCTTGCTCCCCCATCCCACCGAGCTGACAGGCCCAAGCAGGAAGCCGACTAAGGAGCAGAAGCTTTACTGCCTCAGCTCTGTGACAGCTGGGGGCAGGGCCGGCCCTGCTCCGCCACAGCAAACAGCATAACCCAGAACTGAAAAGCATCCTGGGATGCTGGGGGACTGTGAGGTAACTTGTGTCAGAATGGGATCTGGGACACAAGCTTAACGCACTGATTTAACCTAAATCAGTGAAGTCTGATACTACATCCAACCAAGTTTATCTTAAACTGGGTTTGGCCATTTTGAAAGCAGTTTATGTGCACTGAACTTCTGTTATGTTACAGGTTTGAATGGGTTTTTAACCACTTATACTGGTTTGTGTGCATCTTCTGTCCCTAGCCCTAGGGTGCATCAACACTGGTCAAGAAAAAAGAGGACAGGGCACTTTCGAGACAAACTGGTTCAGAAAGTCATAAGCTTTTGTAAGCCAAACTCTTCTTCATCAGATGCTATAACAAAGAAAGGTCAAGAAAGGTACAGATTTTATGAAATCTTTCAAATAGTTCTGCAAATAGCATTCTTCCCAGAATAGGCTAAAGGGCAGGAGAAAAAGAATTTGAGTTCCTGGACTCATCACAGTCTCAATTGTACTTTTTAGGCAATAGTAAGAAGACAAATGTTATAGTAAAAAAAGCTGGTAGCAAAATTTACAAACATTTGCTTAACCATAATTAATTTGTCTGTCATTTAGTCATTAAGATAAATTGACTTGATGTCACATTACCTGCTTTTTTATATTTACTGCATTGCAGGCTACAAAACTGTTTGCTGGTAAACATTTTACAAGTTAGATTAATTTATGTGAGGCTTCTACTTAGCTCTTTCTCAGCATGTTATAACTGCAGCAAGGCAGTTCTGAGGAGTTATTACCCCCGATTTAATCATGCCCCTGTGGATCAGGAGCAGTTAAGTGCGCTCAATGATTAGTTCTAAAATATCTGTTGTCATCAAACAAGCACAAGTGATTAAAAATTACTCTCTTCTAGTGATTCTGATTCACTATCCACAGTGGCCCATGTAAGTATGCTCATAATTTAAACTAATAGCTAAAACTCAACATATAAGGATATTAAAAATAAATAACTTCTATATACATTAGCTGGTGTCTGGTCACATTGACCCATGTGTTTAGCCAAGTCTCAGCATAGTCTCTAATCCAGTGATTCTGTTCAGACTCGTCCCTACCATGCCTACTCGTCCTCCCAATTGGGTGCTATTGCACTTACAGCTAATTGTCCTCAAAGCATGGGAGGCCTGCTGTAAGAAATCAGATACAGATACAAGGCAGAGTATGTTAATCATTTTTTACAATGATTACAATGATTTTGCAGCCTATTAGATATTACTCAATATCTAATAGGCTGCAAAATAGCAATATACTTCTGACATCTATGGGTCAAAAACACAGTCATAAGAGAATGCCACGTGACCAGGCAATAGACCAATAAAACCACAGTGAATCAGAGCAGAATGAGGCCCAAATAACTTATTCATCTGATTCCTCATTTATTTTAGCATCCTCCCTTTTGTTTTATATTTCCTTTGACTTCCTTAATCCATTCCTCCTTGTTTAGGCTAAGCTGTTTTCAGATAAAAAAATTCCACTAATATTTGTTTTTCTCAATGGTGTAACCCACTCTTGGCACTGACTGGAAGGTGTTGCAGGGGTGGAAAAAACCTGTTGTACTGCAGCTGCACAGTCACACTGGCAGTATGGCAGCAACCAGAAGTCACCACTGCCCCTATGTGTGGCAGCTGCTCTGGGTGCCCAGCCACATTACACCTCTGGTTTTACTTAAGGAAACTCAGGGGAAATATTCTGCTCTTCTAAAATACCCTTGACCTTTGCAAGTACTTGGCTTCAGCAAAATGAAAGTGTCTTCTCTGACATAAACGTAATGCATTTGTACTCCCTTATTGTCATAGTCCATGAATTTAAAGGGATTAAGATAGGTTAAGTATGAAATTCCCTCTCCAATGCAAAACCTTAAAAACAAGGAAATGCCAAGTTATATGAAAGCTCTTAAGTGCCTCTTAACCTAAGTGCCCCCACAAATTTCACAGGCAGTATGAGGCTATACATCTTCACCAGGAAATTTCTTTTGTCTCTATACTGCACACACAACACATTAACCTCACTCGCAGCATAATTTAATCCTAATTGCAACCAAACATCTCTGAGATGTGTGACACCCAACACATATAATCTTTACATATGTGAATGCTGATTGCCTGTTAATATGCTGAGGTGTAACTAAGGATGTTTTTTCCTAAAAAGGTTTAATTAAACTTAACTCTAAATCTAAGCAACAGATGTACTTAAAATCCCCACTGAATTTATTCAAGTGGTATATACACTCACAAGAGCACGATATAGTCCAGTGTGTTAGCTAGCACTGATATACCCTAACTGTGGCAACTACAGGTTGTTTAGATTTCAAAAGTTGTGACAAAAGAGCCACAGATCTTTGCAAAATAATTTTTGCAAAAAATTGCATTTTTCAACCAACTCTACTAAATCACATCTTACTGCAAGTCATTCTGCTGAAGTCAATTAGACTGTTCACTAAGGGATTTACTACCTAACATGAGAATGGCTAACATAATTGATTCCTTAGACTGTAAATCCTCATGGCATCCTTGCGCCTGTCAGTTCAGCGCCTATCAGACTGTGGTTGCTATATAGACAAAAAGTAATCTAGCACCTCCTATAAGTGTAGTGTAGTTTTTAATGACTCTCTAGGTTAAGCTAGAAAGAACATTTTAGGAAGCAATCAAAAGTATATCTAGCTCATCTTGCACTTTCCAGCAGTAACACCATGATTTCATTAGTATACCTAAAGAAATCAATTTCAGACTCAGGGCTTGGACTTCTGAACATTATCAGCTCCAGCAACATCACTGACTATTCCACAGTGCTACTGACTATTCCATCTTGCTAAAGATAACCCTTAGGGTTCATATACTCTTTCTGATGCCTTATTTAACTTCTCATTATGCAATATCAGATTAGCCCCTTAATGGTCCCTGGTCATTGAATGAACTCTTCATCTATTAATACAAGGTAAATGAGTTACCCTACAGTTATCTTGTTTCATGGCTGAATGAGCTGAGTTCCTAAAAATTATTTTCAGGACTAAATCTCTGCTTTGTATACAATGCTGTAAACAAAACTTGTCTCTCTTTGTATCTTCCTTCATACCTATGTCATTTTAAAAGTTTGCCCACATATATTGGGCAAACCAGTCCACATGTAGCTTGTAAGAAATATCAGGTTACAAAATCTTCTCCTTCAGTGTTTATTACGTCTTCCAATTATGTTGGAGATGGGCTCATACCAAAATCTTGAAACTGAACATCGTGGATTTTGTTCTGCAGGGTTTGCAGGTGCAAATTTCCTAACAAGCCCTACCTCTATGAGACTAAAATCCCATATCTGTACTTTTTGGACCTCTGTAATCATTACATTTAGAACTGGATTATATAGGTTACATTTTTTGGTACATAAATGTTTACATTATGTCCTATACTTCTTTCCCTTCAGTTCTTGTAAGCATGCATGCTTCTTCAGTATTTGTAGCCCATGGAACAATTCAGGTTTCTTCACTTATCTTTTCTAATTTATTCTATTTAATTTTATAAAAGATAAGCACATTATATAACCCATGCCCAGGATATGTCTCTTAGCCACTGTAAGTGGAGGGTACACTATGTCGAGTCACAGGTTTCAGTCCCTAAGGGTACTTTTACACATGCTCCAGAGGTTTGACAGAGCCACTCTAATTAAAGCACCACATCTCATGTATCAGTTTCCCTGCACTTCAAAATGGCAGCAGGGGCACTTGAACTAAAGCTCATCTAATGAGTTTTAGTTCAAGTGCCCCTGTCGACATTTTGATGTGCGGGGATGCTGATACACGAGACGCGGGAGACTGCTGGAGCGCGATAATTACTACACTCCAGCAGACATGATTAACTGAATCTGCTCCACCGCACTGCAATTACAGCACATCAGAGCAGGCTCCATGCTCATGTACAGGCACCCTAACGTCCTATGTCCCTCAGACATGGGAAATACCATGGGCCTAATGATCAAGCTAATGTAACTAATTTCTAGTGCAAATGTATAGAACCAGTTTTATCCACAAAACCATCCTCCCTGCACCTTACTTTGTGTAGTCTTCCACACTGCCTCAAGCATCCACAGCTAAGAAGGGACAAGATCCTGATGTGGGAGGAAAGAAATGCACATAATCCCTCAACAAGCTCCATGGAAAAGCTAGTAGGAAGTTTAATTATGATACTATTTCTTATAAACACCCCATTGTGTACATCAATGATAAGAAAGGATTTACAGCTATAGTCTCTTCTCTACTATTAAGGAACAAGAAGGTGAACATTTCAGTCTGCTGATTTAGGGCTGATTTTCTGTATTGAAAAGTTATAGAAGTTCTATCTAAAAATCTAACAAAATGAAGCTGGCTCTTAGGCTGAGTGCTCTTCAAAGTGTAGACATCACACAGGAAAGTTCAGCATTATTTTCTGAGTGCAGGTAAGGCAGTAATTATTAATGCACATAGTTAGATGTGATCAAGAAGGAAAGATGAGGTTTCCCCCACAGCTAGTCTCTCTGTCTTGCCTAGTCTACATTTCTGAATTCTAACTACTGCTTCTGCCTCCAAATACATCTGCAAATCTGCTTATAATCCATGGTTGATTACTTCATTTTCCTTACCTGATATTTCAAAAAAGCATAATTTAAAATGGTTAGCACAGAATAGCATGAAATCCTTGGACTGACTTCTGAAATAATAATTTTGCCAAACTTTAGTTATAATTTATGTTTATTTTCTTTTTAGTTTTTCCAGATCTGCTCAAAATTATACCTGCAAGCATCCACGTTAGTGTCATTCTCTTCTGTACAGTCCTGATTGTCTTTGCTCTGATTGGAACTGGATTCTTCATGTACAATGCATTTGGCAATCCCTATGAAACTCTGCATGGTCCAGTAGGGTTATACCTTTGGAGCTTCATTTCCTGTAAGTACTTTACTATTGTTCATCACGTAAATCTGTCATTTAGTCATATTTTGTCATTTAAGATGAGCAGGCATACAGCTACAACCCTCAGCAGTGTCAAGAGCTCAGAACTGCAAAGCAGAGTTAGGTAGGATGAAATATTCTATGTTGTGGCAGATTTTGCTATTTCAGCATTTGGTTCTGGTCTGATTCAGAATGAAATCATGAAGGTCTTGTTCTCAGCCATAAAAAATGTCACATGTCAAGCTCCCTTGGAGTCATGGACCTTGAGAACCTGGGCTCTTCAGATACCCTCTAAGGCTAAGTACAGACAGTCAAAAAGCCTGAGGCTGAATTTGTTCAGTCTTTCCAGGTTAATTTAAGATGCAAAGATTAAAGTGAAACAGAAATGAACAGATATTTACTTTTGATTCAGGAAATGCTGCCACATGTTTGCTGCAGTGACTCAGGCCAGAAGCCGGGGGAGGGGGTCTAGAGCACAGCTCTCTGGCTGTGTGTTCACTTCCTCTTTCTGCTGTTCCCAAGGTCTCTGGGATTTTCAGTCCAGAATTACAGCAACAGTACTCTGCAGGTTTGCTTATTATTTCCTTTTCCTGCTTCCAGGTGCCTCTGGGATTTGTAGTCCACAGTCATAGCCAGCTGTAAGTTTGAGTGGGAGAAGGGGTGTTTAACCCTCTCCCTTGCCCCAGATGGAGTTTGCCTGGCAGGGGGCAGTCCCCACCCCCTGAAGACTGGGCTGCATCCCCAGCCCAGCTTGCCTTCTTCCCCTCACTTCCTTGTCAGCCAGCCCTCACTGTGAGGGGGACTGTGATTTAACTTGAATTAAGGGTCTGGGACAGAAGTTTCATAAACTGGTTTGACCCAAATCAGTTTAGTCTGATACTACATTCAACCAAGTTTATCTTAAACCAGTTTCAGACATTTTGAAACTGGTTTATATGCACTGAGCTTCTGTTCTGTTACAGGGTTAAACCAATTTCTGATCACTTAAACCGGTTTATGTGTAACTTCTGTTCCTAGCCTAAACATACTGATAGGAAGTCAGACAATTTCTGTTAAAACTCTTCCAGTTTCTAGAGTAACACTGTGGGAAATTGGACCATCTCCACAGAACATTGATTTTTTCCACAGCTCTGTAAATTTTGATGGAAACTTATATTGTAGGCATTTTTTTCCATCAGCTCTCCTGAAAATCTAATATGTATGGAATTCCATTGGCTTTAATCATAGATAAGGCGCCTAGAGATGAACTGGTAGCAATCTGTGATTTTAATAGGCTGTAATAGTGTTAATCCATTCTAAGAGATATTGAGCAAATGTATTGAAAGGTATAGCCAACCTCAGCCTAAGAAATCATGCCAATGTAGGAAAAACATGCAGTTCCTTAAGCATAAAGGTAAGGTGATGGAACTTAAGGTGTCATGTTTCAGAATATACATATGGACTGCTGTGAAGACACAAAATTACAAAAAACAAAATGTTAGCAATATACTAACATTTTCTTCATTCTAAACATACAGATGATGTTTTACAATAGGCATGTGCCCTACAAACAGCTGATTAACATCCACTGCCAAATACTGAGAGCTTGTGCACTGTAATGCCTATGCCCTCTTCCAAAACAGCATCCTTTTGGGAAACACACCCAGAGTCTTGGGGCTTGACTCTCCCACTCACTTCCCACTTCTATTCCCATGCATAATTCCATCTAATTCAGCTGAATTTCACAACTGCAGAAGCATCAAGTCCTGTGCCAATATCTTGTTAGCAAGAACCACAGGCCAGATTCTGATCTCATGTTTACCCGTTTCAGCAAATGGTCTCATTTTTGGTGAAATACCACAAATTTCAGTAGTTATTCCTGTTTATTCCAGATCTTTCTTTTCCCAGGCCCAGTTCAATCTTTGTAAGGAACAGATTAATTACAATACTTTTAAAGACAGGGGTGGGCAATTATTTTGGCTGGCAGGCCACTTAAAAAATCTTGGTGAGCTGTCAAAGGCTGCACACAAAATCTTTCAGAAGATACCATTTTAACAAATTATAGATAAAGAACAAATCATATGTTGTAGTACATGTTTTATTTTTAGTATAGTTTAATTTTATTTCAAAAAATATTTTGCCATGATTTATGGGTTTTTAAAGTAGTATATGTAGAGGCAATTGCATAATAGCTCAAAATAAAGTATATTGTGTAGTAGGGTGGGGAGAGGGTTTGTGCATGTGTGGCAGGGGTGTGGGGTTGTATGCATGCCAAGTCCTGGGAGCCAGGCAGGGGTCAGGGGAAAGGAGAAAGGCATGGGCATGTACAGCAGAGCTTGCTTCAACAGCGTGGTGCAGGCACAGTTCACAACCCCATGCTGCCTGTGGCTGCCCTCACAGTCCTCTACATGGGGCCAAGCCCTGCCCACTCCTGCCCAGGGTAGCCAGCACCATGCTCCCACCTGCTCCCACCCCATACCCCCCCCCCCCGACAGTACCACCCCAGCCCCAACCAACATGCACAGCTTTCTGGTGGGGCTACTCCACCTGCTGCCCAGATACTGCTTGGCTCCCCCCTTTCCCCTTCTTCCTCCCCCCACCACCTCCAGCAGCTCCTCTTCCTGCCTCTGCTGTGCCACTCCAGCTGCCTTCCACCCACCCCTCCACCTGCAGGTGGCTGCTCTTCACACTGGGTAGGCAAAATGGGAGTAGAGCTGGAGCCCCACGTGCTGAGACAGGAGCCACCCAGCTGCAGCTTCCTCCCCTCACCTGGGTGGGCATGTGGTGCCCAGCATACGTCCACATGGCTGCCTCCACTTCCCCACACTACCTGGAAGGGTGCAGCAGGGGCATGAGGAGGAGAAAAAGGAGAAGGAGCTGCTGGAGGCCAAGCAGTACCCAAGCAGCTGCAACAGCAGCCAGAACAGCCCTGCTGGAAGCTGTGTGCACTGGCTGGGGCCAGCACCAGGTGCAGGCAGGGCTTGGCTCCATGCAGAGCACCATGGGGGCAGCCGTGAGCCAGATACAATCAATTGGCAGGCCACACATGACCCATGGGCTGTATTTTGGCCACCCCTGTTTTAAGGGCTGCCTTTGGAAAACATCACCATAAGAAACAAAAAAACCTTTCCACTTCCTCTGCTGCTTGCAAAGGAGAGGATGAGACAAACCGTAAAATTGTTTTTGTTGTTGGTTCCAGAAAGAGAAAATGAACAGTTGCGTTAATGGATGTTGCTCATTAAGGCACTAATCCAGGAAAGTGTTTAAGTACCTACCATCACTTGACAAGGTTCCTTGGGTGAATTTGATATCTTTTATTAGACCAACCCAAATGGTTGGAGAATAGTTATTAAGCAAGCTTTCAGGTTCAAAAACCCTTCGTCAGGCTCAGGAAGCTGCAGCAGTTGGTGTGTGCTCTTCCTGGATGGAATGAAAAGTAAAGAAGCCAGGGGCTGGGCTGGGCTGGGCTGGGGAGTCAGTTGCCAGGCAGATTGTAATGTATCAAAAATCCAATGTCTATGTTTAGTCCCTGATCTCTAGTATCCAGCAGGTTGATGAAATGGAGCTCATAGGCTCGTCTCTGGGATGTGTTGTGTAAATTTCCCTTGAGGATCAGGACTGAGAGATTGGAGAGAGAGTGGCCCTCCTGTGAGAAATGTGCCCCCACCGGTAATTGGGTATTTCTGTCTTTGATGGATTTCCGGTGTGCATTCATTCTGGTGCGCAGCCGTTGTCTGGTCTCTCCTACATATCTTCCATCAGGGCATTTGGTGCATTGGATGAGGTATACTACATTCCTGGAGGTGCAGCTGTAAGATCCTGGGATGCTGATGGCTCTGTTGTGGGGTGTAGTAATAGTGGGGGTGGTGGAGATGTGGGGGCAGGTTTTGCATTTCTTGTCATGGCACGGTCTGGATCCTTTTGGTGTGTTCTGGGGTTGAGGAAGTTTGCTTCTGGTGATGAGGTTGGCGAGGTTCGGTGCTTGTCTGAAGGCTAGGATGGGTGGCTCTGGGAAGATCTTTTTAAGAATAGGGTCTTTTTCTAATATGGGTTGCAATTTTTTGAGGATTTTCCGTACAGGTTCAAGGGATGGGTGATAGGTCATAACCAGCGGTGTGCGATTTGTGGGTGTTTTTCTTCTGTACTGCAGCAGTTCTTCACGTGGTATCCAGGTGGCTCTTTCAAACGTGCGATCTACCTCTCTGGAGGAGTGTCCTTGCTGGGTGAAAGCCTTTTTAAGATTGGTGAGGTGGCAATCCCGGGTGTTCTCTTCAGTACAGATGCGGTGGTATCTGAGGGCTTGGCTGTATATCACTGCTTTTTTGGTGTGTTTCGGGTGATTGCTGGTTCTGTGCATTCCATCCAGGAAGAGCACACACCAACTGCTGCAGCTTCCTGAGCCTGACGAAGGGTTTTTGAACCCAAAAGCTTGCTTAATAACTATTCTCCAACCATTTGGGTTGGTCTAATAAAAGATATCAAATTCACCCAAGGAACCTTGTCTGCCTATATCCTTAGACCAACACGGCTACAACCTAAACCCCTACCATCACTTGAAGCACCTGGACAATTCTGCGGTCTTCAATGCAACTTTAACAGTCTTAAAGATAAGCAAATGTATAGCTCTTATGGGGGATCATTGCTTTACAGCAGATTTAATACCTAGTGGGTGCATTTACACATAAAATTAAGGTGAAGCATACATTCTGGACAAGTTCAAGCCACAGTAAACTGCTCCTGGGGGTAGCATCTACACGTGTGCCCAAGGCAGCAGCAATTTGAACCAGGGCAGAGCAAGCTTAGGCTGGCAGAAGGCATGGAGGAATCAGCCCCAGGCTCCACATGGCAGGGTTGGGCAGCAAAGCGGCTGGCTGGGGCATGAGGGTGCTGACCCTGCAGAGCCATGTGACTGGGTGGCAGACAAGAGTCTGGCCCCTGCCCAGTCAACATCTACACATGCATTTCAGTGCAATTAATTACTCCACTGTAAGATAATACTGTCCCCATCAGTACTATCTTATGGCAGAATTAATTAATTTACTGCACCCTAATACTGGCGCATGTCTAGATAGCAACACTTTACTGCAAAGCTAATTAATCTACTTTGCAATAAAGCACATGTAGATGTACCCAGTGGGAGTGTCTACATGGTCATTAATGTGCTTTTGATAATGCCATTACATTTAGTACTTCCATTGTGAGGTACTAGAAAAAGGTGCATTAGCCTATTTTCATGTGCATTAATGAAAGCACATGGGTTTTTATGTGATGCTTTAATGTGCATTAAAATAAACTAATCTGAATTAAAGCACACATGTAGACATGCCCAGTATGTCTTAATCCAGGATGCAGTTAAAAAAAAAGTCCCACTGATTTCAGTTGGCCATTAGATCAGATCTTTTAAAAAATAAAAGAGAGGCTTGAGTGGAGGGGGGCGAGAAAAGAGCAAGATTAGTGACCAAAAAATAAATAAAACAGCACACACATCATGGAAACATACCGAATATGACATTTTATTTTGATGCACCCTGTACAGATTTGTTGCTATGGAAGTTTCAGAACAGCAATACTTCTTGTTCTCTCTTTCAGGGTCTTGCAGCTGTCTCATCATGATACTATTTTCTTCAGAAGTCAAAATTCATCACCTCTCTGAGAAAATTGCAAATTATAAAGAAGGAAATTTTATATTTAAAACTAACAGCGAACAATTTGCAAATTCATTTTGGATCATCCTAGTTTGCTCCTTAGTGCATTTCCTGAATGTCTTACTAATAAGGCTTGCTGGATTTAATTTTCCTTTTTCAAAATCTAAAGATTCAGAGACAGTAACTGGAGCTGTTGATCTCATGTACTAGAATTAAATGCATTTTTAAACAACATTTCAAGCAACTTTTTTCAGCCTCACCCACATTGACTACCACCAAGTGTATCTGGTTTTGAATGATTAGCTCTAAAGAAGTTAAAGAGAAGAAAAAGATTTGAGATAAATGTCAACACAGCCTATATCATAAATGTACAGAATGTGTGTTACTCATTGAGGTTCCATGGAGTAGTACCTTATCATAAAAGTAGTCCCATTTGTCTCTATGGGATTATTTAAGAAATAAGGTGCTGCTGTATATAGTAAAGACAATCTGGCCTTAGGACATAAATCAAATCAAGAAAAACACAGGCAATCATTTTCAACAGCAGAACAGCATTTGCCTATACGCACGATGGAGGTGGTACACCAGAATGACTGCTACTGTATCAAGACTGAACTAGGAATTCCATTCTCACCAAAGAACAATGGAACAGTGACCACACGCCCCAGTTGCAGACATGGGATGAAAGAGAAAAGAATGGATTGGGCTTTCTTAAATTAACAAATGTAGCTCACAGTCTTGCATACACTACCAAGAATGGTGCTTAGTGCTACAGTAAGCACTTACCCTATAAGGGCCCAATGCTGTAACTACTAACATTTGAATCTTATGTTACATTGTTTATAATGTTTTGGTTTGAAGTTACTAAGTATTGTTTTGCGTTTTCTATTTTATAATGAGCAAGTTCAGCAGTAAAGTCGTACCCATGTAAAATACTGAGTGTCTTCATTTCCCTTTGAAATCAACCATAATTAGAGGGCTCAGCATCTTGCCATACAAGGTCATAATGAGTATCTTTTTTAGACTGCATATCACATATACATCATAAAACCCAGTTTCTTTATTTTCTTATACCAGAGAGAGCACAAAAAGCAACAGCTGAAGAATCATTCCCTTCCAAGCTTTGTAGGCTTTAAAAAAAGTGTCTGTGCAGCACCTCCACCTATTGAAAGAGACAAATGGCCTCATCTTCATGACCTGGCACTCTGCCTTTATATAGGTTTCCCTTGATTTATGCGGGTTCGATTTATACAAATTCACTCTTATGCGATGACCCTATTTATACCTGAAATTCGTTATATGAGAGGTAAACTCACTGTTATGCAATCAGCATAGGCACGCTCCTCCCTCCCCCAAGCAGGTAAGTTTGTGAGGGGAGGGGAAAGGGCTATGGGTGGAGAGGAGGGGTGAGGAGAGGGGAAAGGGCCGTGGGGCCAGGGCCCCACTCACCACAGCCCCTGCTGCAGTTGGTCTGGGAGTGGCCGATGCCAGTGGCTTGCAGCTGCTCAGCTGCACCATGCCCTGAACCCCCCAGGGCTCTGCTTCCCCCGGGACACTGTGCCCTGAACCCCCAGCATGACGTAGCCCAGTGGGTGCAAATAGGTGGCATCCTGGGGCCGGTGGCAGCACCAGTCTCTTCCCAGTGCTCAGGGTGGGCTGCAGCAATGGGAGGGGGGCTGCTGCCACCCCAAAATTCACCACTGCTCCCCACAACCTGCCCTCTCAGTGCCGCTGCCCAGCGCCGGGAAGAGTCTGGTGTCACCATCAGCCCCAGCCTGTAGCAGCCGCCAGCCCCAGCCTGCTCTCGTCCCACTGCAGGCTGCTGCCTGCCCCTGCTGCAGCCCTGGGAGTGGCAGGCACTGCCTGATTGCAGCCGCTGGGTTGTGCCATGCCAGGGGATTCAGGGCATGATGCAGCCCAGCAGCTGCAGGCAGCTGACATCAGCTGTTCCTGTGGCTGCTTCAGCAAGGGCTGTGGTGAGTGGGGAGAAGCAGAGCAGTGGGGTGAGTGGGGAGAAGTGGGCTGAGTGGGCCTGCCGCCCACCCTGAGCACCATAAAAGAGCCTGGTGCCGCCCCTGCTGCAGCCCTGGAAATGGCAGACACCACCTGGTTGCAGCCACTGGGCTACATTGCGCCCCTCTCCCCGCCCCTTCCCTAGTCCCAGCCTCACTCCCTCCCTCCCTTACCACTATGGGAACGCATCCCTATGTTTCATTATAAACTGGGTTCACTTTATGCGATTTCAATTTATGCGCTGTTCCCTGGGAATGCATCTACCACATAAATCGAAGGAAACCTGGGCAAGTAAGTGCTCAGTAGGTAAAGACTATTGCCATCTGCATCCATTAGTAGAGAAGTCTTATTTGGCAGTGTTTAACACCCAAGGCATAAATTATTGAGGGATGTGAATGGTTAAATGATTAATCATTTAACTGATTGGCTCAGTGATAACCAGTTCTAGCTTACTGGTTATTGTTTAGCCTGGGGCTGGGCAGTTCAGGAGGGAATTGGGGGCTGTGGGGGAGGAAGAGAAGGGAAGCCCTGCAGTGCCCCAACAAGAACTGGAAGGCACTAGGGCAGGAGAGAATTGGAGAGGCGGGGAATTAATACCTAATAGCTAGGCTATGAGGAAGAAGGCAGGAGTGAGGGGGAGGGAGAGGCGGTGGGGACAGAGAGAGAGGGGCAGGGTTGCCTGCTCCCTTCCTCACAGCACACCAGCAGCTGCACTAGGCTGGTAAAGGCCCTCGCTGGCTGCTGCCTGCCTCTCCCCTCCCTCCTGCACTGCTGCAGCTGGCCCCGCAAAGCCATACACTGGTGGCTGCAGCCCCTCATTGCTGTTGCCCCCCAGCTTCCTGGGCTGTGATGCCTGCCTGGTGGGGATGCATTGGCCTCTGACTCCCTATGCTGCTCAGGGCAGGTGGGTTCAGCCCCTCCTCCACAGCAGGGTGGGACAGGGGCTCAGCACCTCTCTTCCCCACCTCACCCTCTCACCCCCACTTTATAGAGCCACAGGCTGGATCCCAGAGCTGCTGTGCCCATCCCCGGGTTCATTTAACCTGTCGTCATTACATTAGGTTAAATGAATATTTATTTAATCAGTATTTACATTCCTAAAATTATTACACAACTTGTAAAGCACTGGGGTTTTCATCCAGGGGACTTCCCATATTGCTGTCAAATACTTTTTAAAAAAGGGGGAGGGGGAAGAAAAAAAAGACTTTTGTTAAAACTGGAGAAATCAGACCAGGAAAATCCTGTGGCAGAAGTTCTCAGATAGAATCTAGGTATGTTATTTTGTTTCCTTAACTTCCAAAACCTTTAGGGAAGAGCAGAGATAATTTGGCAGATGTACCTAAAAGATACGCTGCAACTCAAACAGACCTTGACGAAGAAATCATTTGGTAAGGATCTCTGGCATATATTAGGCAGGAAGGTCAGACTTCTGGCCTTAAAATCTATTAAAACTATTAAAGTCATAAAGCTATTTACCTAGCCATAGATATAGGCAAACAGCCTTATTATTTATTTATAAGCATATATGCATATGCATGTTAAAATTTATATTCCAAGCTCAAGCACTCACAAATTAAGGAATGCCTGAATTAAGGTCTGAGGCATACTGTTTTAATTACTTAGTCACATAATAGGTTTTTTCCATAAGACCCTTGCCTCATTCAGTGCACAGCATAGATGGTGCATGGTTAATGAATAGCAATTCAATATTTCACTTCTTCCTCTTCATTCAATGTGTGGTCTTGTGTCTTCTACACTACACATTATTCAAGCCTGTTCAGAAGACAGAATTATTACTTGCTATCATGAGGTGTTCTCTGGCACTCATAACTATAGTATCTCTGTGCTTCAGAGATTAATTAATTTATTTTCATAACACTGCTATGCATGAAAAAGTTATTATCATCCCATTTTATAGATAAGGAACTGAGTTACAAAAGTCAAAAGTATCCACTATTTTGGGTGCCTTATTTTTTAGTATACTTGGCATTAAATGTTTCTCTCTTATTCAACGTGCAGTCCCTATTAACTTCAGGTTCAGCTATGAATACTCAGCCCATCTTAAACTTATGCCACATACAGGCATTCAGTTTCTCCTGGGAGACTTGCTGCTTTCCCAGGAGAAACCAAAAAAGTACAAATGTTCAGGCTTTTTCTCCCAGGATAAAAATGACCACTCCAGGAGGGAAATAACCTGGGAACCACCAGGGTTAAATCACTCCCAGGATAATTTCTCCTTGGAAAGCAAATGTCTGTATATGCCATGGCTTCTCTCAGAAGAGAACATGGTCCTCCATCTTCTACCCCTCTCCATTGCCCCCCTCCCCTCCCCCAGGAAACAGTATGTCACTTGCTGGACCCTGCTGCTCCAAAATACTCCCCCTTCACAATCCCCACATTGTGCTGCAGGGAAACACAGGCTGACCATGGGCAGTTTGGGTCAGCCAAATCAGAGCTGCTTCCAGGCAGACCAAAGAAGCTTGCAAGGCATACTGAGATCCCCCTCCCCTCCCCCAGCTATTTAGAGTCAGCACTGCAAGCTCTCCATTCTTCAGGGACTCAGCATTTCAATGTCTGTACATGTGGCTCTAGGTAAGTTTCTCTACCTGGAGAGCAAACCTTAGAGAATTTTCCCAGGTTATTTGAATGTGTGTATGCAGCCTTAGACCTATAGGTCTCAAGTTGCACACAAAGCAAATGAGAAGCACAAAAATGAGTGACTAGCTTTGATAAAGTTTGGTTTAAGTGATTTCCCCAACATCATACTGGAATGTTCTGACAGTCAGGGATTGGATTCCTTTGTCTCAGGCAACATTCAACTTCCGTAACCACGAAGCCATCCTTTCTCTTCCTGTAAAATCCTTCCTTATTCACTAAACACTTTTCACCTTCTGCAACAAATGTGGCAGGGATCCTACAGACTAGTTCCACTTACAATTACTCCCAAAAGCTACATTAAAAGAATATTAAGGTTGCAAAGTCAAACCTTCAAAAGTTAGGTAACAGTAGTGTTGAGGTTATGTTGCCATGATGGTTCAGGAGATATGCGAGACAAGAATTCTTATAAGAGCTTTTACTAGGACTAATTGTGTGGTTGGTATAGACACAGGCAAGCTTTCAGGTCTCACAGTACTAGTTAGGGGCTGTTATTCTAAATAGGACAGCTAACCTATAAGATGGAGCACTGAACTATATGGCTGCACTATTTAAGCTGCATGGCCCTCTGATTCTTGCATCTTGATAGCTGGCAGTGCTCT